AAGTAATTGGAAGCTGGGAATCCACAAATACCTCCTTTCAACGACCGGTGGGTACTGCTGAATCGCTGATGCAGCCCCGGCTTGCTCTGCCGTGGCCCTCCCTCATATCTTCAGCGGCTCCCTCATCACCCACACCCCATCCAGGAACGAAGGGCCCCCCCTCGTCCTCCCCCCCCCTTCCTCCCCCCCCAGCCCCCCCTGCCTCCCCCTCTCCCCCTTCCTCCCCCCTTCCTCCTCCCCCCCTTCCTCCCCCCCTTACTCACCCCCCCTTCCTCCCCCCGCCCCCCTCCCGCCTTCCTCCTTCCTGCACCGTGCCCGAGCCACTGTGCGGAGCCCTCCGGTCCAAAGGCAGCAGCGGGGGGCGGGGGAGGGCGCGCCTGGCGAGGGACCGGAGCCTCTCCTTGTCGGGGGGCCTCTGGGCGCGGCCCTTGGGGGCCTCCCGCCTCCTCCCTTCCCTCAAGGTCCTCCTCTAGGAAAGAGCGTGTTCTACCGCTGCTGGGGGGGGTCACTACCGGTTCGAACCCCCCCCCCCCCTCGAACTCGAAAACCGGGGGGGATCAGGGGGGATCACTACCGGTTCGAACCCCCCCCCCTCGAAAACCGAGGGGGGGTGCGGACAGTGGTGGGGACGGTGGTGGTGGGGACAGTGGCGAGGGAACAGCGGGACAGTGGTGAGGACAGTGGGACAGAGGTGGGGACGGTAGTGGTGGGGACCATGGTGAGGACAATGGTGGGAACAGTGGGGACAGTGGGACAGTGGTGGGGACGGTGGTGGTGGGGACAGTGGTGTGGGGACAGTGGGAATGTGGTGGAAACAGTAGGACAGTGGAGGGTACAGTGGTGGTGGGGAAAGTGGTGAAGGCGGTGGCGACGACGGCGGTGGGACAATGGGACAGAGGTACAGTGGGGACAGTGGTGGGGACAGTGGGGACAGTGGTGGGTACAGTGGGACAGCTCAGTGGGACAGCGGAGGAGTCAGTGGGACAGTAGGGACAGTGGGGATAGTAGTGGAGAAAGTTGGGAGAGTGGAACCGTGGTGGGAACAGTGGTGGGGACAGTGGGGACATTGCGACAGTGGCGGTAGCACTGGTGGGGACAGTAGGGGCGGTGGTGGAACCAGTGGGGACAGTGGTGGTGAGGACAGTGGTGCTGGGAACAACTGGTGGGGACAGTGTGGGGACGGAGGGCCTGTTGCTGGAGGTGAGAGGAGGGGTGGGGAGGGGTTCGAACCGGTAGTGACCCCCCCTTCCGGTTTTCGAGGGGGGGGGGTTCGAACCGTTAGTGACCCCCCCCGGTTTTCGAGTTCGAGGGGGGGGGGGGGTTAGGGGAGGGGGGGGGTTTTGCCGGGACGGGGGGGGGGGGGGGGGGGAGGGGTTCCAGCAGGGAGGGGAGGGGGGGGATTTTCGGAGGGGGGGGTGGGGGGACCCCCGGGTTCCGGAGGATAAAGGTGGCAATTTTCCACAGTAAAGCGGTGGTGGATCACGCTCTCTCTCTTCTCGGGGTTCCTCCCCCTCCCTTCCTCACCCAGCCTCCTCCCTCTTCCTCCTCCTTCACCCTCCTCCGCCTCCTTCTCCTCCTTACTCCATCCAGTCTCCTCCTCCCTCCCTCCTCCTCCCTCATCACCCCCCCCTGCTTCCTCATGCAGTTGTCGGCACGCACAGCGAATTCCGAACAATGTTAGAGCCACTGCCTCGTCGAAGCCCTCTCGCCCTCCAAGAAGCCGCTCCTGAGAAGGGGCCCGGGGCCGCCCGTTCGAAGCGACCCCCTGCCTTCTCAGAAGGCCGCCCTCCACGCCAGGGCTCGGGCTGAACAGTCTTTCTCGCTTTCGTTTTGTTGTCGTGATCCTTCGTTGTGTTTCATTGTTCGTTGTCGCTTTCCTTTTATTATGTTTTCGTTGTCCTTCGTTTCCTTTGTTGTTCGTCATGTCTTCGTTCTGCCTCTGCTGCGAAACAACATCACAACGAAAACTTGTCACGAAATCACCAAAACACCGCTCAGCTCGAGCCCTACCCCTCGCTCCTCCCCCCCCGTGCACGCCACCATTCTCCATCTGCGCCTCTGGCGTCTTGACATAGTCATGACACGACGCTATTTCCAGCAACGGGGCTCTGGAGGCCCGCGTCGGGACCCACAACCATCAAAATCGCTCTGGAACGAAAATGTCCCAAGATGGGGTCACGAGAGATTGAGGGGAGGAGGAGGAGGAGGAGGAGGAGGGGGAGGAGGAGGAGGAGGAGGAGGAGGAGGAGGAGGAGGGGGAGGAGGAGGAGGAGGATGAGGAGGAGGAGGAAGAGGAGGGTGGGGCTCTGTTCGCCATTCAGCGCCCTGGGGCGCTTTGAGGCCCCGGGGCCAACCCAAAGCTGCCCACAACGAAAAAAACTGCCCTGGGAATGGATTGGAGAGGTCTGCAGGGACGTCGTGCAAAATCGATAACTCCCTCCTACCTCCAGGAGTGGGTAAGCTCTGAAGAGAGTTAGCAGGAGGGCCGAACGTTTTCGGGGGCATTGCTGGGTTGAATGAGGCTTTCGGACTCTTTCCAAAAGTTCGCTGGGTCTTTCGGAAGTCTCTGGAGGTGTCCGCAGGGGCTGGGAGCAGAAGGGGAAGGGAGGAGGAGAAGGAGGAGGAGAAGAAAGGCGATCACGACGACGACGACGACGACGACCAGAAAAGAAGTGGGAGGGTTGCAGGACAGTGGACAAGAAGTTCTGCGGAGTCCTGCGGGTGTCCTCATCCATCTTCCCTCCCCCTCTTCCTTCTAGGGCCGAGCTGGGACGGCAAGCCAATCGCAAATGTCGCTGTTCAGCGGGAACATACATCCCTGCGAGTATGTTCGAGCTCTGGAGGCGCTATGCTCCGTGCGCCTGAATGAACACCCGCGGGAAGCAATCAAAAATCCCTCGAGGGGTGTCATTAGCACCAACATCAAAGCCAATACCTCCTGGGGGTAGCGGAACTGTATGAGTAGCACCGAAAGCATAAGTTGGCATGAATGATTCTTGCGCGGAGGCGAATTGATGGTATTATCTTCGTGCTTGCGATCATATTGGAATCCTTCTGGGGTCCTATCGGGATTCCAAGGTAATCCTAAGGAATCCCATGGAGATATGTGCACTAATCCTGAGGAGTCCTAGAGCACACAGCAAACTCCAATGAAATCCGATTGGACCATACGAAAAATTAAGGGAATTCGCCGGCCCAACGGGCCAGAGGCGTGCTAAAATCTTCGGTGACTGCTTTACAATATTTCTACTTCGCGCGCGCGGGGCGGTCCCTGGGGGTCCCCGGGCGAAAAGTAGACCGAGACGGTTCCGGCAGACTCGGGTCAGAGATGGTTTTCCTCCTGGGCGCCGCCCTCGAGGTTCTTCAGAGAGCCCCAAGAAGGGCCAAGAGGCGTCCAAGAGGCCCTCACGATGGTACAAGAGGTTCGGAGATGCCACAAGATCGCTCCAAGACGCCCAAGATGGCACTCAGAAGTGCCAAAAGGCCTCCAAGAGCACTCACAAGAGGGCCCCCAAGAGGCAAACTTCGATGCTTTCCCTTAGATTCTGGAGAGATTTTGGCGTTTCCACCTTTTCGGCTTCCTGACGCACCAACGCGGCCCAAGCGACCCCCCAGATCGCCCAAAGAGGGCCCAAGAGAGGGCCCAAGAGAGGGCTCCAAGACGGCCCAAGAGGGCCCCAAGAACGCCCCAAGAGGGGCCCCAGAGGGGAAACATGAAACAGCATTTCGAGCCCTCGGCCCAAAGAAGCCCCCAGGAGGCCCCAGGAGGCCCCAAGAGGCCCCTCAGAGGCCCAAAGAAGCCCCCAAGAGGTTCTCAGGAGGCCCGCAAGAGGCCCCCACGAGGCCTCCAAGCGGCCCCAGGAGGCCCCAAAAATGCCCCCCCGAGCACGCAAGCAAGTGCCAGCGATGCTACAATATGGGCTGGCGGAATGAGCGAAGCGATTGAATGAAGAAAGAATCCTAAGAAAATCCTCACGAACCTACGGACACAGAATCCGAAGAAAGTCCTCCGAAGATAATCAGAAGAAAATCCGATGAAAGAATCCGAAAACACTCCTACGGAAACCTTGGGAAATCCCACGGAATCCTCTGGAATCCTCCTTCCCCTCTTCGTATGTATCAGATCTGCGTTGCAAAGCCTATTATGAGATGAGACGTCTGTGATCTTCGTAGTGCACGCACGGGTATCGCACAAGGACCGCAACGCGCGTTACCTTAGTACCGAAACATAACTCAATATAAACAAATACCTACCATGGGCAAGGGAATTCTTCTCACTGGACTCCTTGAGGGATCCTGCTGGAACCCTAGTGGGGTCAATTTGAATCCGATTGGAATCCGATTGGCAGAATCCTGTTAGAATTCGAAGGGAGTCGTATTTGAATGCTGGATTGCTTCGTGTGGTCACTTACGCCTTGCACGCTCACATGCTGCTGCCGATGTCGCTGGTTCGCCCGCGCATTCAGGTGTCTACGTGAATTCCCCTGGGGTACGGGCTCAGAACACCTGCGCCCCCCCACGCTCGACTGCACATCCACGATTGCCGATCAGCGCGATCCCATTCCCTCTGCATCAGGACGCGCAGCCGCATCAAAAAGTGAAGTCTCGACTCCAATCCCGAAAGCTGACGACCTCTGGCCAAACGAAACATCTGCCAATGCCAACTTCGATTAGTTGGCATCTTTCGAAATATCCCTGTGCATACACGGTTCTGAATATACGAAACATCACAGGCCATCTCCGTTGACTCCCATCGTTGCTTCTGGATGCTGCCCTTCGTGGTCCACGGTTGTTTCTGCAACATACCCCGTCCATCCTGCGAAAACATATGATCTCCAAGGTCACCCCACAAGATGCAGCTCGCATGGTATTCCAGCTATCGCTGCGCATCTGCGTGCCTTTCTTCCGACCGCCCAGCCTTGCTCCTGGCACTGGGGCTGAGCGGGCGCCTGCCTAGGCGGAGAGGCGGAAATGCTGAAGGTCGACTCGTCATCTGCAACCTCGCTTTCCGGGCGAGTGCAAAATGAGGGGCACGGCACGGACAAATTTTGGAACAAAAACCACATAAATGAGCAACAAAAAAAGAAGTGCGTAAGACATGCGCCACTCACACTAACAGCAGGAGTAAGAGGCAAGAAGCGAACGAGAGACGCAGCGAACTCGGGCGAGACAACAAGTCCTCATTGCCGATAGCAGGCTGCGCAGCGGTTGGTGCTTCGTGCCACCTGCTTTCTTTATTCCACAATCAAAGCTTGCCTCTGTAGGGGTCCTAGCGGATTCATATGGTTAGGAAAGGTTCGTCGCCGATTTCGGTGGCCGGCCCGGGTGCCCAGGTGCCCGGGTGCCTGGGTGCCCAGGGGTGCCCAGGTGCCCGGGAGCCCGGGTGCTGGGGGTGCCCGGAGGTGCCCGGGGTGCGCGGAGGTGCCAGGGGGTGCCTGGGTGCTCTATCGCCCTATAGCCCTTCAGCCTACAGCCCTAAAGCCCTGTAGCACTATAGCCCAACAGCCCTATAGCCCTATAGCCCTATAGCCCTCTAGCTTTATAGCCTTTTAGCCCTATAGCCCAATAGCCCTATAGCCCTATAGCTCATAGCCCTATAGCCCTACAGCCCTATAGCCCTACAGCCCTATAGCCCTATAGCCCTAGAGCCCTATAGCCCTCTAGCCCTATTATAACCCTATAGCCTTATAGCCCTATAGCCCTATAGCCCTGTGGCCCCATAGTCCTACAGCCTAAAAAACATATGATTGGGTTTTGTCTCTGGTATCATTGGACTTGCTTCTTGCTGAGCAGTAGTCAAGGCCCCGGAGCGCATCGAGCCCAACACGTGTCCATGCTGTACTCCAGGACCCTGCGCTTTTATACCTGCACTCCACACAGGAAGCAACAAGAAGATGACATGATAGACCGTTTCGTGCTCTTTGCCCCCTCCCCCGAAATCCGCCGACCATGTCGGCGTGTGCGAGGGCCTTCTCCGTTCGACTTGTCGTCTCCGTCGTCTCCTCGTCGTCTTCGTCGTCGTCGCAGTCGTCTCCTCGCCGTATCCGTCGTCCCCCGTCCCTTTCCCTGTGCCCTCCTCAAGCGTGCCATCCAGAGCGAAACTGACCAACGTCGTCCTGGAGTCGAAGGGAGGCTCCTTCCCTTTGATCCCTTCCCCGCAGGGGGGGGGTCCCGGGGAGGGTCCCAGGGGGGGGCTCGGGGAGAGGCCCAGGGGGGGTCGCCACCCAGATTCGTTTCCCCCTGGGCGGCCCCGGCATATCGAACAGCCCCAAAAAGACCCCAGAATGCCGAAGATGGCTCCCAAGATTGCCCACACGAGCGCCGTGTCGCTCAAAGATCGGCCCAGCAGGGGCAAGATGGCCCCAAGACGATCCAAGAAGCCTCCTAGACGTCCCAGGAGCTCTCCAAGAACACCCCCACCAAGGCTCCAAGAGGCTCCTCCCCTCCTCCTCCTCTTCCTCCTCCTCCTCCTCCCCCCCTCCTCCTCCCTCATCCACCTCCTGCACCCCTTCCTGCTCCTCCTGCCACTCCTCCTCCTCCCCCTGCACACCCCCCCCCTCCCTTGCATCTCAATAGCGATGGGTCGGGCATGTCCTCCTACAGGCGGACTTTGGAGGAAAAATTCGCCGGCCCAACGGGCCAGAGGCGTGCTAAGATCTCCGGTAACTGGTTAACAATTGTATTGTACTAGTTCGCGCGCGCGGGGCGGCCCCTGGGGGTCCCCCGGCGAAAAGTACCCCGCCCGCCGCCTGGCAAGGTCCCGCCCGGTTCAACTCAGAGATGGTTTTCCTTCTGGGTGCGGCCTCTCAGGCCGCCCTGAGCGCGCCAAGAGTGCCCCAAGAGGCCCCCAAGATTGCTCAAGAGGCCCCCGAGACGTTCAAAGAGCGCTCCAAGGCGCCGAAGATGACCCCAAGACGGCCCAAGAGACCCCCAAGACAGCCGAAGAGGCCTTCAAGACGCCCCAAGAGCCTTCCAAGAGGCCTCCGAAGAGGGCCCCAAGAGGCCAAAATCGTTGATTTTCATTGGTTTTTCCGATGTTTTTTGCGTTCTGGCTTTTTCGGCTTCCGGACGCTCCAAGACGGCCCAAGAGGCCCCCAAGACCGCTCCAAGACGGCCCACGAAGCTCCCAAGACGGCGCCGAAACGACCCAAGAGAGCCCTCAAGACGGCCCAAGTGCCGCCCAAGACGGACCAAGAGGCCCCAAGACGGGCCCAAGAGGGGCTCAAGAGGGATACCGAGAACTGAAAAATCGAGCCCTCCGTCCCAGAAGGCGCCCAGGAGGTCCCAAAGAGGCCCCAAGAGGCCTCCAAGAGGCCCCAAGATGTCGCCAAGAGGCCCCAGGAGACTCCCAGGAGGCCCAAAAGAAGCCCCAGAAGGCTTCAAACATGTCTCCCAGGCGCCCCCGAACGGCCTCTCAACAGACCCCAAGAGGCCCCCCAAAGAAGCATCTTGACGACGACTCTATTTCGCCCCATCGAGAGACGACCCCCAGGGAACTGCTTCACCATCAAAACTCCCCACGCAACGCGTCCGAACGACACCCGCCCCCAAGAGCGCAACATGGGCAACGAACACACACACACACAAAAACCAGCGATGCCATATCACGGGCCGGCGGAATGAGCGAAGCGATTCAATAAAAAATACCAACCAAAAAAAAACAAAAATACTCAAAAAAAATCAGAAAAATCGTCCCCTGACTATTTTCTTCTGGTTATTTTCGAACATTCCTCCTGTAGAGGGACGGGCCCGACTTCAAAATAGCTCGGTGGCGGATACGCGCGGCAACCCAACTGGATACGATTCCGCCCGCATAACAAATCAATTATGCAACCGCCGGGCCCGCCAGGTCCGCTGGGGGCCAGGTCCGCCGAGTCCGCGGGGTCCGCCCAGTCCACCGGGACCTCAAGGGCAACCAGGCCCGCCGGGTCCGCCAGGTTTAGGTCGGGCGTGTCCCCCTACAGGCGGATTGTGGACGCAAAATGAAAAATACAAACTAAAACAATTCGAAAACACTCAACTCAAAAATAGTCAAAAAATCGTCCCCTGACTATTGTTTGTTCTTTATTCCTCCTGTAGAGGGACATGCCCGACTTAACGCCAGGTCTGGATGAGTCCGCCCGGCGCCGAATCAAGCGGGTCCACCTGGTCGGCCAGGTCCGCCGGACGCTGGGTCAACTCGGTGCCCCGGCCCACCCTCGAAGCGGCCCTAAGCTCCGCCCACCCAGAATGTCCCGCTGGAGCACCACATACAGCTTTGAGTGATGGATCGAATCACGGCGCGTCCACATTCGTGGACACTACGTTGCATCCAAATCTGCACGGATGGAGGATGCTGCGGTGTTCAGCAAGACCACTCTGAGACAGCATGCGATCTGCACAGAGAGTGGATTTATCCTAGGCCTTCGCGCTACGACGCAGCTGAATCCATTGAAGTTGAATATATGTGGAGACTGAACGACCTATAACCCTGCACGTTCCGATGCCAATGAAACAAAGAAGGCGTTGAGCCCAAGCTGGCATCCGCACCTTTCGACTCGTTGATTAAAAAGTTGTTCGTGGAGCTCGAAATCGTCCGCCAGCCTCAACTTTGAGAAGCCTCTGAAGTCATCGACATCCTCACTTCGACTTCCACACGATCGGACTCTATATCTTGATAGGTTCCGCGTGAAGCTTGGGTACCTAAGTCGCATAACTTCGCGTTCCGCGCTTCGCGAGGCGTGAGGCGCGGCTATCTTCGTCCTCTCGCGCGGTGCCCGTGGAGAAGGGCAGCTCTCTGGCCCAGACCGCCAAGCGCAAAGCGCGATCACCTTTGCGCCACTACAGATTACCCAGATGGAGCTGCCACGAGCTCACACTCAAAATCTTGGCTGATTCACCTGCGAAGCGACGCCGCCGAGGCTACCCAGCTCCGCTCCCTTCAGGATCTTGAGTCCAAGCCCCGTCAACTCGACTTGCCATATGCTGGTCTCAGACGCCACTGGATATGTCAGCACGGTGAACTCGAGCAACCAATCGATCCAATCCTAAATATGGAAAGTCTGACTTGGGGGGTTAAAAGTCCTGCTCCAGCCTGCCCTTTGCGACGCAGCTGTACATATCAAGAATCGTGCAGCGGGATTGTGGATCAACAGTTGTTGTTCTGCGGTGGTGACAAGTCCAAAAACTTGTTAACCACATTCCCATCACTCCTGCAACAAGCTTCCGCACACATTGACAGCGCACCCGACCCGCGCGCTGGGGTCCGCCCTCTCGACCCGCCCGCTTTGGTCCGCCCGCTTGCTCGCTTGGAATGCGCCACTGTGCCGCGAGGCACTGAATGGAGCGTCGCTGTATGCAAAGAGGTAGGCGTCCGGCCGGCTTCCCCCTTTATCATCAAAAAGAAATGGACTGAAAAAGCAGCTCGGTCGCGGCCGTAGAGCCGCGCGCCATGCCCGCGCGAACCGCGCGCCGCCCGTCAGCCTGGATCTGTGAGTCTGCCCGGGGGCGGGGCGCCCCGCGAGTCGTCGCGCTGCTCGGCCGTAGCCTCGCACACTGCAATGCCGAGGAAGCAGACTGCGATCTGCATCTGCGCTCGCCGCCAGGGGCTTGGGTCAGCACGGAGCGTGACCCAGCCGGTCTTGGAGATGACCCGCGGCTGGCGTGCCCACCACTCCGGGGCGATTCTGAAAGCAGCCCCGGGCATCGCGCGCTCGCCGCCGAAGCGGGCGCACTCGGCCCACCAGTGACGAGCCGACGCCTCCGCGTGCGGACACCAGGGGCACCGCGGCTCCTCGCCATGGCGACACCGGCGCGGGTCCACGCGGCTTCACCCCACCATATCGACAAGGCGCGGCGCCACCTGCTGAGGCCTCCGCGCCATTCCGCCCACTCGGGCGTGGACGACGCCTCGATGTCCACCGCCTCGGTGGATTCCTCGTCCCACCGGAGCCAGGACGGCGCCAACGGCTGCAGCAGCGCAGCCCTGCACCTGCGTGCGTCGCCTCCGTTGGCGACCCGA